AAAAGTGGCCTTGCTGAGACTTCACTGAAGTCAACTTTATCAGAGGAAATAACTAAAAGACAAAACAGTTATTATATACTGTATAGAAGTTTAGAGGAGAAACTATTATCTGCTGTGGTTTTATTTGATGATGTTATTGATGTTTGCCCTTTGTTATATTGGAAGTTTCAAAGTAAGAACTATTTAATAATGTAATTTAACTACTCTATTTGCTAATAATCTTGCTGCCTGGTTGATCTTATTGTAGCTTAAGTCCTGTCCTTCAGCAGGCTTATCTGCAAAACATCTGCACGTGCATTTGTTTTACTGCATTTTAAAAATTTTAAACAGATTTCAGTTAACTAAATGGTGACCGATTTTTTTTCTCTCCCCCTTGTCAATAAAATAAAATCAGTACTCTTTTATGTGTTCTGTCTGTGGTAGAGTGCATATATCATGGTTCCAACCTTAATTTTGAAAGACAAACATTGTTTAAGTGACAAATATAATCAAGACATTCTTATTTATCAGGTTATTAAAGAACAGAATGTTTCCCATTCCAATGATTTGGAAATTTGAGAGACCCCATTTTGAGTTTGAAGCAGTTGTTTGGAGTTCAAAATGATTATTACATATCACAGATTGTATCAGAGATCAATACATTTCTAAAATGTTCAAAATATTAGCTTCTTATTTGAAATACAATGTTTTAAAATTGAATAACTTGATTTACTCAAAAGTATCTGAATTTAAAGTGGTTTGCACACAGTACTATGAAATACACCAATTTCAACTCGTTCTAGTTATATTGCAAAATGTTTCTTTTCATTTCACTACTGTGTCTTTTCCAGCTGAACATCTTCCAGATAGAAAATACATGTTAATTTTTAATTTGTTCTCTGCCTTACCTTTATGATCCTTGTGGAGGCACAGAAGAGGGCATGTTTTTTCTAAAACTGAAATGACGAATTCATAACCTACAATCTACCAGCCTGGAGCTACAGCTCTACACTTCTGTTCCAAGTGTTTTGTGAATTACATTTTTTTTTCATGTTGGCTTGATCTTTTTTCCCCTGTCAGTAAATACTATTCAGTGCTCTGCGTCATTAGGCTGCTGAGCGAAGAGCAGAAGAAAAAGAGCATTATTTCCTAAGAAAACATAGTGCTGGGGTCTATATAGGAAGCCAGAGACCACGTAGCCTTTGGATTAAAACTCATCCCACTACCCACTCAACCCCCCAAAAAGGATTACTGTACTTGCCCACAGCTACCTTGTCCAAACCCATCTTTGCTTAACACATAAGAAAACTTGGCCTCTCCTTTTAATCAAAGGGGGATTCCTTAGTTTGAAATTGTACTGTATTAATCAGTAACTTCCATTGAAAGCAACTGGACTCATTCCAGAGAATTGAAATTTGACTGCAAGAGTTCTCAGCACATGTTAGATTAAAGGAGGGCGAGAGAGAGGATAAGAGAGACAAAAGATTTACTCAAATTTATTTTCTTTTTTTTTTATTACAAAAGTTTTACAATTACATTTTCACCCCTTTCCCCCCCCTCAACCCATCCCAAACTTCCCAATCTCACCCTCCCTAACCCTCCCCTCCCCCCAGACTTCCATACAATATACTCAGATCAAGAGAAAAAAAACCCTTTATATAAAACATGAACCCCTCCCTCCCCCTTATAGTTTTTCATCTTCATTACATTAAAATATTTCTATCTTACTATAACATTTTCAAATAAAAGCTATTTGATACTTCCTAGTTTGATATTTGTTCTGAACATAATCTATCCACTTTTTCCATTCCCATTCATAAGTCTCTTGTGAACAATCTTTTAAATATGCTGAAATCTTCGCCATCTCTGCAAAGCTGGCCATCTTCAAAGTCCATTCCTCGATAGTGGGCAAAGCTTCATTTTTCCAGTATTTACCTATCAATAATCTCGCTGCTGTTATCATGTACAATATCAGCTTTGATTCACCCAATGTAAAACCCTTAACTATACCCAATAAAAACAGTTGTGGAGAAAATTGAATTTTTTTCTTCAAAACATTCTGCATAACCCACCAAATTTTTATCCAAAAAGCCTTAACTTTCTTACAAGTCCACCAAACATGATAATATGTAGCATCTAAACAATCACATCTTCAACATTTTGGCTGAACATTAGGGTACATACACGACAATTTTTTGGGGTCTAAATGCCATCTATAAAACATTTTATAGAAATTTTCCCTCAAATTCTGCAACTGTGTGAATTTAACGTTCTGAACCCAAATTTTTTCCCACGTTTCCAACATCACTGGTTCTTCAAAATTTTGGGTCCACTTAATCATACAATCTTTAACCAATTCAGTTTCTGAATCCCTTTCTAACAAAACATTATAAAGCCTTTTAATATGCATTGGACCTTTCTCTTTTATATGTCTAACCAATTCTTCCTCATGCAACATAATACCAGTTTTTTGGTCCTCTTTCCATCTCAGTTGAAGTTGATTGTATTGTAACCAAGTTAAGTTAATCCCTTCGTCCTGCAGTGTCTCTAATGTCTTCAACTGCCATCTGCCCGCATCTGTAAAAAGAACCTCTTTATATAAAAACCCCCCGAGTGACATTATATTTGTATTCCAAATAATATGACCAAGATCCAGCCATAGCGGTATTTTATAATCCCATTTGAGTCGGTGCTTGTTCCAAACCCTCATCAAAGAGTCTCTAAGTATATGGCTTTTAAATACTTTATCCACTTTGTTCTCATAAAATAAGTAGGCATGCCATCCAAATTCAAGATTTACTCAAATTTATTTTCAATTAAGCATTTTTACTGACTTCCATACAAGCAGGTTGAACAACCCTCAATTTATTTCAAAATTCTTTTCAAGCAGATAGACAATTCATAAACGCCATCTGTTTTCTAGCACCTTTCTAAGTAAGATAAGGATAAAGCAAAAGAGGATGTTAGAATGAAAGAGGAAGCTATTTTCATCCCCTCCCAAATACCCTCATTACATGAAAGCCCCCAACAAATTACTCATAAAGGGATATGGTGCTTGCTTGACCCTCCTCCCCAAATAAACACTTTTGGGGTGTTTCTCTGCCTTTCACATTTCAGGCTACAGGTAGGTGTTCAGATAGGTACAAAAAATGCTTTCAGGTATTATAGCAACAGAACACTTCAACTACATTAAATACTCCCCCTGGCCACCCTGCTCTCATAATAAAAGAGCCTTACCCAAATTCATTATCTTATTTATTTGTTTGTTTGTTTGTCAGATTTATATGCCGCCCTTCTCCCGTAGGACTCGGGGCAGCTCACAACAATAAAACAACCCGACAATAGATAAAGATTAAATAATATTAAAAACCAATTTAAAATCCCCAAATCCCAAGTTAAAATCCACAGCAGATCAGGGAAGTTGCTGAAGGAGCTATATCTTTAGGTCAGCGTGGAAGGTACGGAGGTCGGGGGCCATCCGGAGCCCGATGGGCAACCCATTCCAGAGGGTCGGTGCAACCACAGAGAACGCCCTCATCCTGGGGACCGCCAGCCGACACTGTCTGGCCAAGGGGACCCGGAGGAGGGCAGCCCTATGTGAGCGCATATGGGTAACAACCCTGTTAGGATGATCAAACATATACAAAGATTATTCCCATGACTTTACCCAAGTGGTAAAGCCCCAAATACCTGTTTATAAAAAGGTATAACAGTGTTTTAAAATAATTTGGGTATTTTAGAAAACACAGCACAATTTTAGAGACTACATTTCTCAATGTTTTAACACTAGGGGGCAATCTTTGTGAACTATATGATCCTTTTTGGCCTGGTTCCTAACTGGGAATTGTTATGTGGCTACAAATTATTATTCACCTTGAATATCTGCCATTCTGAATATGAGATTTTCTTTTTCTTCCTTAAATTAATATTCATCACTTGTGGCAAAGTACACAGCCACAATTACCATAACGGCTATGAGAAAAACTTTGAGAGAGAAGAGGAAGAAGAACAGCCTAGACAAGTGATGGCGAACATTTTAGGCACAGAGTATCCAAACTGGAAGGCGCACGCGCCAGAGCACCAGAAACTCAACGATTAGCTGGCTGGCGCGTATGCACGCCTCAGAAACCATCTAGCAAGAACGCATGTGCACATCAGAAATCCGACAGCTGGGGCGACGGTGCGCATGCCCACAGAGTGGGCTCTGTGTGCCACCTCTGGCAAGTGTGCCATAGGTTCATCATCACGAGCCTAGACAATGGTCTGACAAGAAATCTGAGTCCAAAGCAGGAATGGAGGGCAGAGAAAGCATCTCAAAATTGACCCTCCCTAATTCTCTGAAACATAAAAGTAAGCCAATTGGGGGGGGGGGACATATTCAGACTTGCAAGGTTCTTGTTTTAGTTTTCTGTCTGGACTAACTTCACAGACTGACACTCAAATCCTTCTCTAAAGGATTTCTTAAAGGGTTCTACCATGTAACGTCATAAATCAGATTACAGAAACTTTTTTAAATATCAATTGGGCTGGTTCAGCACTCACAAAGAACATACTTGAGCAGCCTAATTCTTCCTGGCATTTTATGTGCCCCAATTTCTCTGCCAAGTTACCGAGTTGCTGATTAAATTAGAACCGAATGAGAAAGTTACCATGGAAAAGGACAGTGGGAGGTAGGAATATAGGTAGTCCTCGACTTAACAACAGTTCATTTAGTGACCATTCGAAGTTGCAATGGCACTGAAAAAAGTGACTTATGACCATGTTTCAGTTACGATCATTGCAGCATCCTCATGGTCACATGATCAAAATCCGGATGCTTATTAGCTGGTTCATATTTGTGACATTTGCAGTGTCCAGGGGTCATGTGATCAGCTTTTGCAACCTGACAAGCAAAGTCAATGGGGAAGCCAGATTCACATAACAACAATCTTAATAACTGCAATGGTTCACTTAACAACTGTGGCAAGAAAGATCATAAATGGGGCAAAACTCAACAAATGCAGGTCTTCCTTACATTTTAGTGGCTGTTAAATCTTATTTTAATTCTTTTAACACTTCTTCTACATGTTTAAATGCAGCAGGATCCTCAATAGTTGGGGTTATCTGGAAAAAAAAACTCAAGACTCTTAATATGGCAAATTAAAATTAATGTTTTCATTTTGTGTAAATCATATATTAGTCAGTATTTGCCCATTAAAATACAATGCATCATAGGGCAACAATTAAAGATACTTCAGATGAGCCAAGTTACAGAATGTGTCCAAAATAAGGACCCATGACTTCTAAGGGAATGAAATTTGGGGAAGTTGTGCAGCTTCTGTTATACTGGCTGCTGTTGCAATACCAGACTGCTGCTACAGTCACATGATCTTCGTTTACAATGTTCTGTAACAGTTTCCCAGTCTTTCAACCCCTTGTTCCTTCCCACATCCAGCAGGAGCCACTTACCTGGCTGTTGCTAGGGGAAAGGAACAGGGAGGAAGGAATCCCCATGCAATCTTCCTACTCCATGCAGCTCCTCTTGCACACCTGCATAGACTTTTCTGAACCTTCCCGGGCACCTTCCTTGATAACATGCAGTGCCTCCTGTGCACTCCCATGTCCCCTTCCCAATAGACACTGCCACCTCACACACCTTTCCTGACCTGTGTGGCAGCTCTTTTGTACCTCCAGGCACCCTTCCCAACCTCACAATGCTGTGTCCCACTGGCACAGTATTTCTCACACATCCCTGCAACTCTCATGCATTATTCTTGCCCCGTGCTGCCCCACCACATGCCCAAACCAACCCACACAGCACCTCTCACATGACTCCCAGGCACCTTTTCCATCTTATACCACTGACCTGCAATGCCTTCCCTGACCCAGATGGCATTTTTTGCACATGCCCACACAGCCTTCTCAACCCTTAAGGCATCTCTCATGCATCCCCACATACCATTTCTGACTTGAACCCCTGGCTCCCTCCCTCTTTCTTATATGTTGATAGGGAGTGACAGGTCCAACTCTAGCAACCTGCTTTGCAGCGTGCCACAGGGCTTGCTGCTTTCTCCATCCTTTTTAAAATCTATATGAAATTACTGGGCAGGATCATCTATCACTATGAGATGAAGTATCACCAGTATGCTGATGATTTCCATTTATACAGCTCCATCCTGGGTAAAGTGGGTGATGCTGTGGGTGTCCTTTCACAGTGCCTAGAGGCTGCAGGGACCTAGATAACGGGACAACAGTCTTCAACTGAACCCCTAGTAAGATACAGTGACCGTGGGAAGGGAGCTCCTCTGCATCCAGTTTTGCATCTTTGGACTTGGATGGGGTTGCACTACCCCAGATAGACCTGATGTGTAGTCTGGAGGTCTTCCAAGATTCACGGCTCCTGCTCAAAGAGCAGTGACAATTGTGTGGCTAGGACAGCCTTTGCGCAAATTTGTGTTGTGTGCCAGTTATGCCTTTTTCTGGATAGGGAACTCTGCTCAGTCAATCATTTGGAGTATTGCAATGCGCTCTATGTAGGACTACCCTTGAAAAGTATCCAGAAGCTTCAGCTAGTATAAAATGCAGGCATGCAGGCAATTCTGGGCATCCAAAGAATGGTGCAGTAACATTTCTGCTGAGCAAGCTGCACTGGGTGCCTATCTGCTTCCAGGCCCAGTTCAAGGTGTTGATTATAAACTTTAAAGCCCTACATGGCAAGGGGTCAGGTTAACTATGGAACTTTATCCCATCAGTCAGTCCCACAGGGAAGGTATGTTGCAGATTCCATCAGTTGAAGAATTCCAACTGGTGGGGTCCAGGAAGAGAGCCTTCTTTGTCACTGTCCCCGTCCTATGTATGACTCTGCCTGGGGATGAAGTGGGCCCCTACTCTTGCCTTTCTGTAAAGGCATAAAAACATGGCTTGGGGTGCACAGTTGAACATGCAGCCATGGGGCTGGTTGGTGTCCTGAAAGCCCTTCTCCTCTTTTTAAATCAATTGTTAACATTCCTTGCCTCTATAAAATTTTTACATGCTGTTTTTTATGCTTTTAATATCTAATTGTACACTGCCCAGAGTCTCTGTGAGGGACATGATAAATAAATAAGTTGCTCCTTCTCTCACTGAATTTTTGCCCATCCATGGTCATTCTGTTTCTCTATTTGGGTTAGGAAATATCTCTGAAACAATGACATGTCGAGTCACAGGTTGTCTAGTGTCTTATTATATACTCTATTACTGGCACTTACCTTGTATGGTTTCCCATTCACAAGAGAAGCAAGAGCTGATCGTGGTATCTTGCCAGAACGGGTTTTTGGTATTTGTTTCACAAATACTACTTTCCGAAATGCTGCTACAGGACCGATATCTTCTCTAACTCGTGCAACAATTTCTTCTAAAAGTTGTTCCTCTTCAGTATCAATCCCTAATAGCACATAATAGCACAAGTGTCATAAGTGGCTTTATTGCTTTGTATGGGTACAATTTTGTTTATCACTGGCTATCACAGCCAAATCAAGACAACAATCTCAAACCAATCATTCACTTCAAAACTCCAAAGATAGATTTAGCTTTGTAAATGAACAGTTCTCACCATTTCTCAGGACACACAATGCTAAGGGAACATGGCCCTTTAGTCGATCTTCTTGGCCAACAACTGCACAATCTGCCACAGCCATATGGGAGAGAACAGCCTGAAGAGGGGACAGAATAAAAATACTATATTAGACAAATATAAGATTGCATGTCCATTACTTATCTGACAAAGTATGTCCAGCAACAGCAGCCTATGGAGAATAAGATGGCGCTCTCCATTAATAGGCGGTTTGTGACCAGCAAGCATTCCCTTTGGCCAGATGCAACTGACCATCTTTGTCATCTCCTTTGCATACAAACCCCTAAAAAACTATTCTATGCAGTTTTGAGATCTCTCAGGAACATGGGGGAAGTAGCTTAGAATTAGGCCATAAATGAATGTTCTTTTTACCAATGGAAGTATTCTGAGGAGAAATTTGCTCAGGAATTCATTTAAAACAGAACAAATATTCAAGGTCCAACTTGGAGAATGTGAACATCTAGATGTCATGGTCCATTCATTAATCTGTAGCAATAGAAACTAATTTGCATATTATATGGTGGCTCTTTCAAACATTAATGGGAACTTTTTAATCTGTAGCCTGAAAAACTCTCTGCTTCCCAGCTATGCTTGACTGAGATTAGGAGTTAATATGTGCTAAATCGTATGTGATTATAAATGAATTTGTGGTAAGGTAATTTATGTGGTAGTTGGCTCCGATGTGTAGAAAAAGGAGTGTGCAGGAGTCACAACATATGAGTAGACTGCTCATTTCCACTTGGACCTCAACACTAAAATAGATGATTAAAACTCCTAAATTTAAGATTAGCATGGGAAAAAAAATAATAGTTATAACATATAACTTTTCATTAAACAGCAAGGAATAAATTTCCAAGCATTTGTGTGGGGAAGAAGCTTGTCTAATTTCAGTGAAATAGGTGCATGGCTTTGAGTTAGATCATACTCCAAACCTCACAAGGATATTTCAGTTTGAAGCTTTGATCAAATCACTCTAACAAATCATATTCACAAATTAAATCTGAGACCTGCTGTAATCCATTCAATCAAAATGCATGGATGAAAGCACTGTTTAGCCTTGTACATGTAGTCCTGACTTACGACCACAATTGTGCCCAAAATTTCAGTTGCTAAGCAAGGCAGCTGTTGTGAGTTTTGCCCCATTTTAGGAAATATTTTGCATAGTTGTTAAGTGAATCATGTGGTCATTAAGTGAATTAAGGTTACAAATGGTGCTCACATGACCCTAGGACAGGTAACTGTCATAAATGCATCCCAGTTTCCAAGTGCCCAAATTTTAAATCATGTGGCCATGGGAATGTTGCAACAGTTGTGTGAAAACTGATCATAAATCATTTTTTTCAGTATTGTTAAAGTTCAAATGCTATGCTGAATGAATGGTTGTAAGTTGAGGACTATCTGTAAAACATTTCATAAACTCTATATATGATCTACTGCCTCTGGAGCTGCTATAGAAAATATATGATGCATTATCAGTTCTACAGAAAGAGAATGCAAGGGACTAAGTTATATAACCAATCTGTTTTCTCATTTGGTTAAATTCTCTGATAAGAGCTCCTTTGGGTGGCAAAACCTTAGTTTGAGTTGCTTTGATCTGCCCAATTCTCAGCTTTTTTAATGTGCTAAACTTTCATTTAGTTCTTTCTTGTGTTAATGGAACGATAAGACTTCTATGCCTTGTCCTGCCCATACAACTTGCAATGAAAGGTGCAACCAGGTCCTGCTCAGGAAATGCCAAACCTTGCTTATATGCCCTGTCCAACTTACCCACAATGCTGAGGAGATATTTTCCAGGACAAGCAAACTTGCCAACCAGTTTTGGCATTCTTTCTGGCACCTTAGAAAGCCAAGTGATCAGAGGTGACAAAACTACCTGATCCAAAAGGTCAAGGCACTGAGTTTTTGGGGGCTATCACATCTGGCATGAGTTCATTTTAAAATAGTTTTAAACCTTAAATGTTTTTTAAAATATTTTTAATTTGAACTTGAACGATTTCTAAATTAATTCACTGAGTCTCTATAGGCTCTAGTCAATGATATAGGCCTTTCCTCATGTTTACTGCTTCATTTTTAAAAAGATGTGGAGAAATACTTCAAACAAATATTTACAATGAGATCCAATAAACCTTGGCAGATTCATATCCTTCACAGAGGTTAGATTTGCTATTCTCATCCATTACTGCCTGCCTCTAAGTGAAGTGCTGCAGGAATTTTAATGCTTCCTCGTTCCATGGATGATGTTTTTTTTCTGTATCAAATTGTGAAGCAGTTTGCATCAAATCATGCTTTCTTTTCTTGATTTGTCTTGAATTCAAATCAAATCATGCCTTCTTAGAATACTGAATGACAATTTAGTGATACGCTTCACTATACCCTTACAAGGCTAAACAATGCATCCTCTCTACCCTGTCTTAAAAACAATTATTTCTTTTTCCTGCATTACAATCAAATGCTGTCAGGAAGCCATCATTTATTTTTTCTTCAGTGTCTCGAATAAAGCAGTAGTCTACTCTAGAATATTGTCAGACATTAATACAGTATAATGGTTTTCAGTGAGTATGTAAGAGGAGCAGCCTAGTAATGATAAGAGCACTACTCCTGTTGCTCCACTCATTCATTAAGTCTTCATGGAGAAAACTTTGCTAAAGAAGAGGCTCACCAGGAAAATCTTTGCCCCTTAATTTTGAGACAGAGCCCCTCCACTCTTTCTCTGCGTTTGAAACTGAGGTACCATTTTTCCTGGTTGTTTTATCCTTACCTCTTCAATTGCACCTGCTGAAATTCTATGGCCTGCAACATTTATCACATCATCCACACGAGACATGACATATAGATAGCCTTCTTCATCCATATAACCTGCATCCATAGTATCATAATATCCCTAGGAAGGAAAGTAGATAAATGAAAAATGCTTCAGAATATTAAATACAACAATATTACATTTTTGCTCCTAAATCAATGCATTACCAAAGAAGTATCTCATTTGATCCCTGGCATTTGTTCTAAGTTCCAATCTAGAATTTATGGTTCTGTTCATGGAGGTTGACAGGTTGACACATCATTAAAGTAGTTTCCACATAAACTCAATATGGAACACACAGAAAAAGCATTTACCATGGGTGCTGTTCACCTTATATGTGATCCTATTGAATAAAAACTTTTGGAAGAGGAAGAAAAATGCACATTTGGGATAACTGAACCTTTTGCTGTACTAAATATGCCACATATGTGTGTATGTGTGTGCATGCGTGTGTCAGTTCAGAGGATTTTTTTAGCATGTAAAATATTTTAATATAAGATGATATATTTTAACTAAAATTAAACCAGTCAGCAAGTTTAAAGATTGAAAATTAAACATTTCCATATGCTAAGAAAAACTTTTAGGATTCAAAAGCCAAATGAAAAATGTTCTTACAAGAAGTATAAGGGATGTGAGGATAGCCACTGTTCAAAATTAAAGGAAAAATATAGAGAATTTCATATCATTTTAAATAATGTATACTTTTATATATTTAATCACTTCTTACCGGAAATTTTTGGAAATATAATTCTTTATAAAGCTCTTCATTTTTCCAAAGACCTAAAAAGACTCCTGGTGGCAAAGGCAACCTGTTGTATATTTTAAAAGGGAGTGGGGCGGTTATATAACTGCATAATACATTAATACAGAAAACTCAAAAATAGTTGAATACAGTATGTTCTTCTAAACTCAAAATGCTTCTAAATACAGGGCTAGAATAGTTACTTTTTCCTCAACTTTGAGCATAGGAACTTCCACCTCTGGTCCTCTAATCATAACAGTCTTATCCTTAAGATAATTTATCTTTAGTCATTTCACACAAAAAATTATCTCTTATAGAGTGACTAAGAGATAACACAAAATAGCAACAGAAAATGATTCATAATGTAAACATCTGAGAGTAATGCTGCACACTGTGAAGTGTTATGCAAGTAAATCAACCTCTATATCTTGGGCCATGGATTCTTATTCTAGGTATTATTTTCTTCTTTGCTTCTATCTCTATGCTTGTCTAGACAATATATATAGAACAACAGGTGTCTAGACAATATATATAGAACAGCATAACAGGTGTTGCAAGTCACCATAATGGTGACTTGCAACAGATATGCTTAGGCAATAATAAATGGAAAATGTAAGAATTTGTGATGGGATTTTACAGTATCTGGAACTAGCTGAATACCTGTGCTTCACTACAAAACTATGTGATCAGGCTTGATAAATCGACACTTACAGCTTGAAAATGAGTAGTTACGATTGGCCTCTCCTCTCCCCTTCTCTCCCTCAGCCTTGCCCCACAGAACCCTATCCTATCCTATCCCCTTCTTTCCCTCAGCTTGCCCAACAGAAACATCTCCTATCCTATCCCCTTCTCAGGCTTGCCCCACAGAAGGCTCCCGTATCCTATCCCCTTCTCTCCCTCAGGCTTGCTCCACAGAAGCCTCCCCTATCCTATCCCCTGGTTGCTGCTGTGAAAGTAAAACTGAAAATGAAACTCCTCTCCTCTGTTTGTGTTTTGCATTTGGAACATATTTCTTTTCAGGTGGGGAGGGGGAATAGAACTCCTTAGCATCAGAGCATGGAACAGATTTATTTTCAGGTGGGGAGGGGGAGTAGAATTCCTTAGCATCAGAGGGCTGTCTGGAAAGTGAAACAGTATTTGCTGTGTGAGCTAGGAGACAGGAAGGAGCCTGGCCGTGGCTTAGCTCAAGTGTTCTGTATTAAAGCTGCTTCCTGCTGTGAAAGTAAAACTGAAAGTGAAACTCCTCTCCTCTGCTTGTGTTTTGCATTTGGAACAGATTTTTTTTCAGGTGGGGAGGGGAAGTAGAAGTCCTTAGCATCAGACCGTGTTAATAATAATATAGGAAATACCAAAGCTCTGATGGTCATTTTGAAAAATCCTTTCTTAGTGAGCACCTAGAAGCCAAGAGGAACATACGTGGCAAATTTCAAGTTTGTAGGCTCTACGGTTCTGGAGATTTCGTGATTACGGCGTGAGTGGTTTTCACTTTTATATATATAGATTGGCATACAACATCTGCTAAAAGTCATATGAAAATCCAGATTTCTCAGTGAAGTTTCCATCATAATGATGTCTCTTATTCTATTTTGAGATTATTCACCAAATATTTATGGCTCTTCATTGTTAACTTTTCTAAGGCATTTAACAAATGAGCTGGTTTGATTATTGGACAACATCATATATAATGCACAGAGAAAGCAGTAAGTCCTATAGACTGTACTTGATGCATTGTCATAAATAAACAGGAAGGTATTCTGGCCTACAATATTTAGAAGTAATTCAACAAAACATTTTTTGTGCTAGCTACATGTGTCCATCTTTAAATCAACATGATAACCTAGATGTTATGATCAGAAGCTACTTTTACCTGTAGCAATTAATATTTTTCAGACTACAGTTCTATCTTTCAGTATATGAACCTAATTTTTCTATTTCAATTAAGGTTTTTTCCATAAATGGAGATTATCTTTCAAATATTTTCTTGGCAAACAGACATTGTAGCAGATCCAAATTACAATATCCTATCAACAGACCTGGATCTCCCATAACAACAATATAAATTATTCTTCAATTGTCCATTTTGAATATATTCTCTTTCCCTCCATCTCTATTTACTTTGCTCAGTTGTAAATTTTTAGGAAGTCATGAATTGCTTACTTCACCACTATGTTTCCTAGAGTCTTCACTTTTACAGGTTGCTTGTTGTCATCCAGAATCACAACTAAAACAAAAAAGCATCACAAGTCATAATTAATTAAATTAAAATACTAATTAATTAATTAATTAATTAAAATACAAGTATTTCAACATTAACCAACTTCAGAAAGTTAACTGGAATGAAAATTCTCGTTGTTTTCAAATTTTACAGTCTTGAGAATAATGAAAGATGAAGTAGAAATGGACAAGCCAATATCTATTCCTAGGTTAATAAACATGAGTCATTTGTCATAATTATCTGAATTTTCCTTTGCTTCATCATCACCATGCATCTTATCAAAATTAGAAAAGAGAATATAAAAATTTTAAAGCATTTCCTTCCATGCGTCCTTTATATAAAAAAATATTATTTTTAATAAAATAATTAAAATAGCTTGCACTACATTTCATAATTTCATTTTACAATTTTAGCTTTAATTATATTTTAAGAGAAAATATCCCTTGCTGTTCAAAGTTAAATCACATTATGAAAACTCCTTTAATTTTGATTGCACCTGTTCTATTCTTTCAATTGTCATTCAAATTAGAAACAGCTATTGCCTTTTTATGTCTAGTTCATAAAAGCCTTCCTGATAAAGTTGAACTCTATCTAGAGATTTTCTGAATCGTGAAACATATTTATGGAGGTTACCAAATTGATACATTGTGAATATGCAAATACCAAGCTCAAAAGCTCCTCGATTTAAGATTTCTTTCATGTTAGTGCAGATACTGTAATATACATATAAAAAATGCAACAATATAAAGTATCTTGTTCAGAACATGTCAGGAAGACCCATGGAATGCAGGGCAATTGCCATGATTTCATTATAACCTACAAAATTCATTCTCCCAAATAGATCTTCAAGAAATATCAGCAGCTCTCGCCTAAATTGCTATGACAGAGATAGATATGTTTCCTAGCCCACAAGGAATTTAATCTCTGTGAGGCAGTTTTCATATAAGTTAATTTTTGACTTATTATTCATTCTGCCCCATACAATTCATTATGTAAGCGATTCTCCTGGGCATTTGTGCTGAAAGAAAGCCCCATGTGAAAACCTATATGGGTTGGGATACTCTAAAGCAGAGGTGTCCAAATTTGGCAAAACTTTAAGACTCGTGGACTTCAAGATGGCTGGCAGGAGAACTCTGGGAGTTGAAGTCCACAAGTCTTAAAAGTTGCCAGAATTAGACACTCTGCTCTAAAGAATCCAAGCAAAAGATGAAGCAATAACAGGCCACATTATACTATGTTGTGCCTTGATGTCAGAGTGAAAACAGTTATTGTAGCTTTAAAAAGCAATTGATCCATGGTACAATTTCATAAATATATCGCATAAAGATATATTTCGCAGGGTTTCTTTCATCCTGGAGATAACAGGAATTTTGAAGTAGTTTAAAAAAAGATCAAAGTTGAGTTGGTTCTAAATTGTCAAAAGAGCAATTTTTAAGCTTTAAAGATCGTTTGCCTGTTACTTTTTGTCAGGAATGTAATTGTTATAATTGTTATAATCCCCCCCCCTCTCTCTCTCTCTCACACACACACACACACAAAATTTTAACAACATCTACTTTGCAAGTTTACCATTGTATCCTGGTACCAACTTTCCTGTCTGTCCTGGAGGAGGAGTTAGAGAGTTTCCTAAGCCAATGCAAGATGCTGTTATTGGAGAGCCTGTTTCTGTAATTAAGAAAAAATGTTTTTAAATATTTTTTGTAATGTTATAATTAAAAGTTATTTTCATGTGTAAATTAATTGACTTTGAGGTTCACATTAAAAAAACTTTCTTTTTTTAGAATTTAAATAGCCTAAGACAGTGCTTCATAAACATTTCCCTTCATTTCCCCAAAACTGCTTATACCAATAAGTCCTTTTTACTTTTTACTGCTTATCTGAAAATCCTTCTTTAAATGTCCCTTTTATGATTGGGTAATGGATTCATCTGTCATTTACCCAAAGAAAAACCACTTTTCCCAATCTTGGGTAATTTTCTTTAGGTTTTAAGTGCTTCCCATTAGGTTTGGGAAGCACTGACCTAAGAAAACTTAATAAGCACTCTTGAACTGGCACTAAACAAACTTCGGTAGATGTCCTTAATAGAGCATTGAGCTCATTAAGTGATGTGGAGCCAGTTATTATAGCTCAACATAACCTACTTAACTGAGTGTATCTGAGAAAAAAATGAACTGAAGAACATTCTGTCCAGCCCCTTATATGGCACTTCTGCTAATGTTAGAATTGGTACAGAAAGCATGCCCATCCACCAGCTGTTTTTTGTCCTCTTCATGCCCCGTTTTCAGGCCTTTTTTCAGGCCATTTTGGGGGGGGGTTGGTCCATTTTCAAGGGTTTTTTCAGGCCATTTTCGAGGCTATTTTGGCTCTTGCGAGGCTTTTTTCAGCCCGTTTTTTTTGGAAAATGCTCTCAGAAAATGCTATCTAAATGCTTTGAATGATGGATCCAATAACAAAAATGATCATGAAAATCCAGCTGGGTGACTTTGGGCCAGTCTCTCTCTTTCTTAACACAACTCACTTCACTGGGCTGTTTTGGAGAAAATAGGAGAAGGAAAGAATATCATGTATATTCACCCCTTGAGTTATCTATAAAAATAATAAAGGCAGGATAAAAATCACATAAATAAACTCAGTTCATATGTGCTACCAGTTATATCCCGGCAGAAATAATGCAGGTGAAAGCAGTTTTTAAGATACTGCTTCAAATAAGGCTGATTCTACTTCAATAAAAATGAAACTTGTACCTCCAGAAGACAGGGGTGGTACGATGGCTCAGGGGTTAAAACCTTGGGCTTGTCGGCTGGAAAGCAGGCAGACCAGGTTCTACACCTGAGCACAATGCGACCAAGTGGACTCCCATTGTCACCCCAGCTCCTGCGTACCTAGCTGTTCAAAAGCATGCAAATGCGAGTAGATAAACAGGTACCACTTGGTGGGAAGATAACAGTACTCCATGATGTCATGCTGGCCTCATGACTGCGGAAATGTCTTCAGACATCGCTGGCCTTTAAACAGAATGAGCACTGCCCCCTATAGTTGGCAACAACTAACAGAGTAAAATCCACAGGGACTCCTTTACCTTTTTTTCTTTAATCTCCAGAAGACAAGAACAGAGGCACACTAACACAATTTCATAACTTTTACTATTCTTAAAAGATATGTCAGCATGACCCATGCGTATTGCCAAGGCCATCTGGCAAGTTTTTCTAATCTGGTAGAAAAGTAATGTTTTTCATCTCCTCCTAAAACAAATCTTGCTATTTCCATGATGTGTGATGTCACTGCATGGAATGTGCCCTGCTCTACCAGTTGCTTTTGATTGCAGCAGGCAAACCTATTAACACCATAGCTAACTTTTCTTCATGGCCTTTCTGCTTTCTCCTACTGGACTGAAATAATACCCAAAGGAAAAGAAGCACCAACATAACAAGAGAAAATTATCACTCGAGCATTCTTAGTGCTTCCTCCAGCAATCCTGGTATTGCTATTGCTAGAAAAGTAGGACAAGGACTCTCTAAATATTTCAAGAGCTCTGTTCTACCTACACTAATAACAGCAGCATTAAGACCACCAAATAAAGTAGACCTGGACCTCTCTAAAGCAAACTTTAAAATTTTACTGCATAGCTAAACTCACAACTCCAGCTGTCAAAATGTGCCTATCTTTTACAATCAGCCCATGTTAGTGGCAGTGACTGATGGGGTTTTTTTTTCACAATTATTCACTGGCCTTGTTACCAAAGCAAACACCAGAAGTATAGAAAAGAGCACATTTAAGTTGATATTTCTTTATGCAGCAAATCTTTTTAAGCCAGCTGTCTAGGAGTAGGGCAAACAAACACAAAACAAGCCATAAATTAAGTTTATAAATAGATAAAATCTAATCAGAAGCAAACAGATCCAGGTTAGTCCTCAGCTTCAGAAAAAAAGAGGAAAATAAAACATAATGAAAATCATTCTATCGGATTACATCTGAGGAGATAAATCCAGATTTAGAACATCCTTCAGCACATGAGCTACAAAGCAGGGATGCTCAACATCTTCCCAGAATTTGGGGGGCAATTTTGAAACATGAACACTGAAGATAATCTGAGAGTCTACAAATGGAACATTCTGGAGTTAAGCTGCCATGCCACAGTAATGAAAATACGAATGACTAAGATATGCAGTTGAATGCATTATAGTATAAAACAGTTGTAGTCAAGGTAAAAAAGTTCAAATATTCAAAAACAACCACACTAATTATATAGTACCCTGTTTTCTCCAAAATAATACATCCCCTGATAATAAGCCCAATTAGGCTTTTGAGCGCATGGCAATAAGGCTAAGTGCTTATTGCAGGGTTTAAAAAAATATAACAGGGTCTTATTTTCAGGGAAACATGGTATCTATTATTATGACTCTGCTACCATAGCTAAACCAAGCATATATTTAATTTTTCAGTGAATTAAATTACATCTGCACTTTACAACCTTGAACTTTGGCTCATTTGCATATTTCTCATACATTATCACGCTTTAACAAAGCACAACAGAAGACAGTTGCAAAAAAAATAAGCAGACAGAATCATTTTTTAAAAGTACAATGATTCATTCTTCTAAGTAGACAGCTTCTTCCATAGGCTCCATACAAGATTGGTGAACAGTTAGTGTTGTAGACAAGTTTTTCCCTTTGAACATATAAGATATGTTCAGAAAGGGTTTTTTGGCCAGCCAATGACTTTATATAAAACTTGGCAAACTTTGAGTTACAAATTCCCCCATACATGAATTCAGAAGTTATTTAACATGTTTGCCAATTCCATTCTTGTTAATCTTGTTTACCCCATATCTGTACCATTACTTGTAACTATTATGATAAAGAAGACAACACCAGCTCCCTAATCTAATCCCTAAATGAAGACATCTGCCAATAAAAAAGGGAACAATAACTAAAAACAATGCTTTCATAAGGTCAGTCAGCAAGGTTTTCAGGGTATTGACAAGATATGTAATTAGGAAACCCATAATCAGGCAGCCCAAAAGTGCTATCGGCTAAGAATCTGTTTTTTGTTGAAAATATTCTTGGCAATGATTCCTCTAGTTATGATCAAGAAGGGCTGCCAAGACATCTCTAGATTTTATTGTTTATACTTCCCATCTCTTAAGAAAGTTACTGAAAGGTGGCAAAAGCCCATAAAGAGTTTGAACCCTGACAAGGACCCAAAGTCCCAGGAAGGTCCTGCATGACCGTCAGTTCCAAAGGATCTGTCATTGCCATTCCTGGAGTTCCTGGCATATTGAAGGAATGTAGATTGTTACATCTTTCTATATTCACTTTCTTCTATTTATTCAATCAAATCCTCTTTGGCCTGGTTTGAACCTACTGAATCTTAAAGAACCTATTGGCTCCTGACTGACCCACCAGCCAAAGTATTAACACATTTCTTTAAGCATCTTGTAGCTAATGCATACGTGAAGATTTCTTGTAAAAAGGACATGATGTTCTGAACAGAGAAAATGCTTTTTAAAGATAATATATATATAAAAAGCAACACGTTTAATTTGCCACATGGACACAAATTTCAGTCTCTCTCTTTCTCCCTCATGCAGAGAGAGAGAGAGAGATTCAATGATTAAAAACATCCAAACTTCATCCCCTGTGTTAAAATAATTCCTAGCAGGAAAGCACATGCCCATCTCCACATATCATAATACTTGAGCATTTGTGCAATTTCATGAGTTAGGGCCAGCAGAGGGCCATATGCTCTTTCCCCCTCAAAAAATCCAGCTGTATTCTTGGAAGTTAATATCAAGCAGGTCCACGGACTAAATGAAATATATGAAAAAGTAGAAGAGTAAGGTCAAGCCAAAGGAATATCTGTTGACTAAATTACAGACTCTATTATTAATGGTAGCTAATCTAGAAAAACATTAAAGAATATAATTTTTAAGGATCTGGAACCATATTTCTATTAATTAAGATGGACAATCTGCACTCATAGGAATAATGGCAATCAAGATATTTTGTCTTGCTTTTCATACAATGAGTGGCGTCATTGAATTATTTACTTCTTAAAATTCAGATAGCTGAAATGGTTATTTTACTTATTTAATTTCCCACTTTGAAAAAGAAACTTTTCTTTCATAGCACATCCTACAGAAGGAAGAAGAAAGCAATAAGGATCACAATGGCAATTGTATTTTGGAAAGGAGAAGATAAACAGATGTAACTTGTTAAGGCAAAGTGGCAGAAAAAACTTGAAGACTATTGTCAGTACTTTTTACTCTCTTGTGTACCAGGACATCACGCCATTTTAATGAAAATCTTTATTTTTTCCACTTTTGAATAGAATCAAAACATCTTACTCATCTCCACCTTTAAGGTACTTAACAACTGGTTAAGTACTGGTTCAACGGACAAGACGCAGATGATTAACACAAAAGAATCTCATATATCAGTGTTAAACATTTATAATGTAACTGCTTCCAAAAAAGCATGGTGTCTGCTTTAATGTCAGTAGCCCACCACAGTCAAAAGAGAACATATCAGACAGCTGCTATTTTTAAATATGAGAAAAACCATCTACAGCAGGGATTAGTGTTTCATAACCTTTTGTACTCTTTCTCCAAGAAAAGATCCATCAGGGCTGTCTTAAATCTACCAAAGGATTATTCTTTCTATAAGAGAAAATCATGGAGTTTAACTCTCGGTTCCCTATTCACAAACCATCAGTAAAAATATCTACGTTACCTAATGAAGACCCTAGTCACAGAACAAGGGAAAAAGCCGTTGCTAGGCAACAGAAATGACATCAGCAACCTGTAACATTTTCAGAGAAACATATAAAGCTAATGGCAGTCAGAGCTTCTCTCATTTATGCAAATGAGATTGGAAAAACTTCCCCATCATCTCTCTCTCTCCCCTTTAGCACACCTTAAAATTACTTTGAGATTAGATCCATGTCTAATCTCAAAGACTTCGATTAGTCTTTCTTTTACTGCAATCAGCAAGGGACTGCGCAAGGCAAGGAAGGAGCCTGAAAAGAAACACTGGATTCATGCTTAACACATACAATTTCAGAAGAAAGTGAGATGCCATACATATGCAGTTCCAAAATTAGAAGAAATGAGAGAAAATGCATGTGGGGATACTTTCAGAGGGATAAAGCTGGGCTACCAACAGAGGTATTGAATTTGGGGTGGGGTAGGAACATGTATCTTTCTAATTTTGACAGCATTTTGAAAAGCTGGTTCAAGTAAATGATGATTCACAGGTAAGATTTGTATCATCACTATTAAAAATTTCAGAAGAAAGGAAGAAAAATGAAGACATTAGTAGTACTTTTTTCAAAATAGTCTGACCTCTCTCGCTGATTAAATGCCATCTTCTTTGGGCAATTGAGAAATGAAAACCACCCAACCCTATGATTTCCATAATTTCTCCTTTAACTCTATATTTAGCCAAACCTTTTCATCACTTTTATTTTTAAAGTGGGATTCAAATTAAATGCCTTTTATTTCTTCTGCATGACACATGATAGCAATGTAGCATGTATGTGTCTTTATTTTATTAATTCAGTTTTATTCAATTTGTACATTGATTGACTCCCAACCTGAACATCACTTTGACTTGGCTATTCCCCACTATCTGCTACATTTAAGAATTTATACTAATTAATCTCTACTTAATTAGTTCAAATTCTTAAACATCTCTACTTAATTAAGTGTAATCTCACTTAATCCTCCACTTAGTGAGACTACACACATATCTGCCTCTCATGTCCTAGGCCAGTGTTTCCCAAACTTGACACTTTGAAGATGTATGGACTTCAACTCCCAGAATTCCTCAACCAGGCATACTGGCTGGGGAATTCTGGGAGTTGAAGTCCATGCATCTTAAAATAGCCAAGTTTGGGAAACACTGTCCTAGGCTCTATGGGAAAAAATCCCCAGTTCTGCCATTTGTTATACATTCTTGTTCACATCTCAATGTCAGCTGCAGCTCCTTCAGATACTTCAGCTTTAATAAATAGCATTTGAACTGTCCTCTGTCTGCTAATAGTACATTGAGGAATGCTATAAAATTAGTTACAGTGACCAATAATAATGGGTATAGCAGTAAGAAAGCTTTGACTTAACTGAAGGGAAGGAAGAACTTTAATATATTGAAGAAATATAGAGAATATAATACCTATTTATTGGGATCATTTGGTATTTTAGATGGCTCTAGAGACAGTTGTTATGGCTCATCTATTTAAGAGGATGTGGATTTATTCTCTATAGTGCCTGAGGACCAGGACAAGAACCAAGGGGTGAAAGCTTTAGAAAGATTTAAACTTAAAACCAGGATGAATTTCTTGATCATGGCAGCTATTAATCAGTGCCACAGCCTGTTTCTTGGAATCATAGGTGGTCCATCATTGGAAGTTTTCAAATAAAGATTGGACAGCCATGAGTCTGGGATGGTCCAGGTATCTCTGCCCTGAGCAGCAGTTTTGAACCACTTCCAAACTTATTTTATAAGCTGAGAATAACTGGATAGAGCAGAGGGACTCCACCCAGTCCATTCGAGACATAACTGGCACTTCAGCTGCTACTCAGTTTCATCCAGCTTGTTTATTTGTGACAGCAACATCTCCATGAAGCCAATCTCACAAGAGACTCTCAATAGTCATTTCTCAGTGGTGAGTTACAACCTATTCTAGCATCGTCCAGTCGTCAACGTGACAACATAAAGCTTCTGTACATTACTGTTAAATCAACACTCTAGCCAGTGAAGATAGATAAATCATTAGTAAACACATGGCTGGAGTTTGATTGACAGGGCTTTTTTTCCGATTTGAGCTGGCCTTTCCAGTATGAAGCAAAAGAACAGCTGCAACAATGGCTGTCTAGCCTCCATGTCTTTCAGGGTGGACTTTGAAAACAGCTATGACAACAAAGCTATTCAAGAAGTACTTAAGATTCAATGCATGAGGGAAACTGCATCACTTCTATATTCTCCATATGTTCAACCTCATGGCAATATTGGGACCAAAGGCAAAGAATGATGAATTTGCTCTCTGCAACCCCTCAAACAATCCAAATGGCTATTGATGAGTAGGGTTAAATAAATGAGATGTAACCAGCAGACACACTTTCTCCAAGGTCAGTGCTCTCCCCATTTAAAACCCTACTTTTTTTTCAAATACCTATCAGATTGCAAATGGTGGCTATTTTCTCCCAACTTTTGCTACCAGTTTTGAGGGTGTGGTTCATGTGCAACTCTTGCTTGCTTACAACTGATCTAAGAGTAAAAAAAAAAATTTTTTTTCTACTGTATGTAATTTTTACATAGCTGGAGTTTTCTTACTCTATTCCTTCCCATTTTACATACAGATTAGAAAAATATTTTTTCTAATAGATAACTGCATATCAGTCTTTTGTTTTCCCAAGACAATAGTATTCAGTTAATTCATGATTCTTAGATAAACACAATAGCTCAAAGAGCCTTGGTAGTACAGTGGTCTAAGGCACCCTGTTATTAAGCTGGTTATTAAGACCAGCTGCCTGCAATTACTGCAGGTTCGAATCTCGCCAAGGCTCAAGGTTGACTCAGCCTTCCATCCTTTCTAAGGTAGGTAAATTGAGGACCCAGTTGTGGGGGCAATAAGCTGACTTTGTATAAATATACAAAAGGATGAAGGCTATTGCTGAGCACATTGTAAGCCGCCCTGAGTCTCCGGAGAAGGGCGGCATATAAATCAAATTTTTTTAAAAAAACAATAAAAAGTACCAATATAGTAAAAGAAATCAAAATAAAGTGGGAAGACAGTACAGTAGCTATAAAAAGGAATCCAAATTAATGAAAAAATACAAACTTATTTAAGCTGCCCCACATGTGAACTAATCTGAAATACAAACTTCAATCAGAAAAGAGGTAAAACTGTTTATGTGAATTTGTTTTCAGACAGGTATAATCAACTCACCAGTTTGCCACCAATGATCCAAAACTGGTACCTTGAAAATTTTTTTGCACCATTCTAATGTATCCACATCACAGCGTTCACCAGCTACAAATAATGTTCGAAACCTACATTAAATAGGATTAATTTCAACATTATTTTCCTACCAAGAAATATAAAAATATAACAACAGATGCATTTATGAATGGTATTGTTTCCTACTTACAGAAAACTTATAAAGCAGGGATACTCACTTTTTTTACATTTTATATTTGAATGCTACACCAGCAGTGAGGGCAGGATAAAAACTCAAGCTGACTTTATTATATTCACATTTTAAGGTAATGAAAAATAATTATAGTGAATTTATTTACTATCAATTACTATCAATTATCCTCCTGTCACTTTAAGAAGTATGATTTGTAACAACTTTTGGAGGTTTCCAAATTCATAAATATGATTTTTAAGGATCACTGATAACCCGTAGAGCAGGGGTGAAATCTAAATTTTTTTGCTACCGGTTCTGTGGGTTTGGCTTAATTAGTGGGCGTGGCTTGGTAGTAAGGTGACTGGGTGGGTCTGGCCAAGTCAATGTCACTTCTTTGCCCTTTTTTAACCTACAAAACACAACACAACACAACTGGCTCACCCACAATGTAAAAGCAGCTGTGCTAGACTCAAAATGGCCCCGCAACAAGCAGGAACCTCACACAGCCACAAAAAGCCCCAAAAAACAACTTTCACACTTTACACACACAAAATTCCACATACAGCTTTGTGAGATTTTGTGTGTTTGTGTAGTTAGAGTGAAACACTACAGAAACACACTAAATCTCAGAAAGCTGCACAAATATTATTTTATTTTAATTTATTTTTATTTTTATATAAAAGCAGCTAAATTTAAAACTTCCTAAACTTTAAATGTCTAGGTCTAAAAAAAGAACAACTAAAAAAAACTCCAATTAACTATTTTTTTTAAAGCTCCCAAAGGGGAAAAAAACTTACCAAATAGAACAGGGGTCTCCAACCTTGGCAACTTTAAGACTTGTGGATTTCAATTCCCAGAATTCCTCAGCCAGCTTTGCTGGGAGTTGAAGTCCACAAGTCTAGGCAGGCAGGCAGAAAGAGCTGCTCACCGATGAGCTTGATTGCAGGCAGGGAGATCCAGTTGCTTGCTGATGCATGGATTGCAATCGTCTTGCGATCAGCAGCTAAGGTAAGCAAGCTGGAGGCTGGGAGGGGGGGGGAGAAAAAAAGAAACTTTTTTTCTTTTACATGGCTCTGGTGATCCAAGCTGAGTTGCCTGATTAGCAGGCAACTCAGCTGGGATGTCAGAGCTTGGCTGGTCAGAGCCATTTAAAAGGAAAAAAAGGCTCTGATGATCGCGGGGCACAGCTGGGCATGGGGGGCAGGGGCAAGGATTTTTGCTACTGGTTCTCCGAACTGCCCGCCGCCATCGCTACCTACTCGCCCGAGCCGGTCCAAACCGGGAGCATTTCACCTCTGCCGTAGAGCCTCAGATTCTCTATCTTACAAGGATTTCCAAATAAGTAATCGTGTTAGTTTACTAACAAAAGAACCTGAGACAAACACGTTTATTTTAGCATAATGTCTGTAAATTGGATTGATTGTTTATTGTTCGTTCAAAGATTATTACATTTTCCTTTTGCACAGCAAACGTACATAATTTTCAAGTAGCTGATGACATGCTACTGAAACAAGATTCTTCTATCATTACACACATACAGCACATTGTTAGATGAAGGAAATTTCTTGTGTAGATGTAGAGAGCAAAAAGAATGGCTCTGAAGAAGAGCTGCTACCAAGGCAGTACCCTGTTTCCTCGAAAATAAGACCTCCCTGGATAATAAGCCCAATCGGGCTTTTGAGTGCATGCACTAAAATAAGCCCTCCCCGAAAATAAGCCCTCCCCAAAAATACCTTAGGGTTGGGGAGACAGAGCTGGAAATCAGGTAAGACAGCAAGGGAGCCCCATCTTGCTCCACGCGTCCCAAAATAATAAGACCTCCCTAAAAATAAGGCCAAGTGCTTATTTCGGGGTTCAAAAAAATATAAGACAGGGTCTTATTTTCGGGGAAACACAGTAGTCAGATAAGAGGGGCGCAAGTCTCAGCCAATATAGTAAAATGAGTAAATGGCTCAGACAGGTGCCTCCCTAGATAGCACAAAGATAAAGGAAGGATTCAGACTTGCAGGATTCTGTTATTACAGCTGTTACAATTATAGTGGTACTGATTTACAATAGACTTACATACTGAACAATAAGTAAATTTATGCAAATGTGTAGAGGTTTGCAAGGAAGAGTAAGGAAATTAACTTGAGTGCTAGGGATCTGTAGTCTGTAGTGGATGGAAGTTGGAATCAAAGGCAATAGAACCATCAGATAGTAAAGTATGCAGAAGTGATAAAAGATTTCTTGCTTGACAGCATGACATCCAGATCAGGGGTGGGTTCTAAAATTTTTTACTACCAGTTCTGTGGGCATGGTTTATTTTGTGGGTGTGGCTTGGTGGGGGGTAATGTGACTGGATGGGCATGGCCAACTTTTTTTTTTTTTTTTTACTTTTAAAAGCATTTTTTCTTCAACCTTAAGAGGTTGCAGAAAAAAATGCTTTTAGAAGCCTCTGACTATCAGGCAACTCAGCTGGGATCACCAGAGGCTTTTAAAGGCATTTTTTTTCCTACAACCTCTTCGGCTTTTAGAAGCCTTTGACAATCCCAGCTGAGCCGCGCGATCATCAGAGGCTTTTTTTTTTTACTTTTAAAAGCATTTTTTTGGCCGAAGAGGTTGTAGAAAAAATGGTTTTAAAAGTTAAAAAAAAAAAAACTCTCTGATGAGGTGGGTGGGGTAAGTGAGTGGCGACTGGTCCGGGACCAGTTCGGAGGCATGGCCAGCCAATGTTATTACTGGTTCTCTGAACTACTACAAATTTTTACTACCGGTTCTTGCGAACTGGTGCGAACCGGGAGCAACCCACCACTGATCCAGATGAAAAACAGAACAGGTGACTTTCCAGAATGGAGAGCTTAAAATAAATAGAGAGAGAAGAACCAAAGGTTAGATTTGTTCATTAAGAAAAGAAAAAAATGCTGTTGTGTCTGTGAAAGATAGACACACATACAGAGACCTATAAAGACAAAAGAGAGGAGCAGAAGGAATTCATCTTGAAGAACAATAGCTAGTAAAAAGAAATGATTGTAAGAGGCAGCCTGGGAGATAAAGGGAACAAGGGACAATGTTTCTCTTCTTGCAGTACTGTGCCCTGCTGGGACTCCATTCCTTTAGAGATGTGCTGAGATAATTTTGAAGAAAGTATGCAGTAACAGTTCATCAAAAGTAAGAGACAGTCCTGGGAAATTAAATAAAGCATAAGAAACAAACGCAAAATAATTCCACCTTAATTCTGTCTGGCATACTAGGAGGCAAAAGGAAACTTGACAGGCTTTCTAGTTTTTATTATTATATCATCAAACAATAATGTGGCATTCCTGTGGTCTTTGTACTGCGTCTTGACCAATTTCAAAGGGCTCACAACTCCCTGCAGCCACATAATGCTGTGGTTAAGTGCATGAGATTCAGATTAATTAGCACAATCAACCAGTGAGGGAAATATAGAAGCTGCCAAGTTTCAGTTCAAAGCAAACAGGATTTAAACTGGCCAAAGAGGAAGATCCAGGAGTGATCAAGCAACCAAGAGAAGAATGACACAACTCTGAAAGATTTTTGCAAAAGCAGCTTGTGGCTATATTTTTATTATGGGAGCACTTTCAGTAGGCATTGTGCTTTTGAAATGTACTGTTTAGGAGAGTGCTCAGACTATTGAGAGGATGAACTGCTATCTCTAGGCAAGCCTCACATTCCCAGTGAACTTCGTAACTGTTTCCTCAAGTGATTCTTGTCTCTGTGTATCTGTGTATCTGTTTGGTTAAAGCAAGTAGTACACTTTTTCTTTTTTACATAACTAAAGGTTTATATATATTTTTTCTTATTGGGTGTCCCAGGAGGGAAGGAGAAAATCATCCTTTAGAGCCCTCCTGCTGACTAGAAGACTTGGCAGCAGATTTCTTTAATGTGAATTAGATAGAAGGTGATCCTGCTGAGAGATTCCATGTGGAATCAGCTTCTTAAACTCAGAACAAGCCACTGTGCCAAAACAATAGAATAGTAAAGTGGATTATCGCAGAAGATAATTATCCTGTTCAATTAAAAATACATTCACTCCAGTTCATTGTCCAGTTCTATCTGGTGTAAAGGTAGAAGTATAGAAAATAATATTTTTTTCACCAACAAATTCTAATATGGTAGAGTTCAGGAATGAAATAATATGAATAGGCCTAACAATAATGAGAAGTGGCAATAGTTTTAGAAGATGATGTTTTCTAAAGACAAAGAGAATTAAAGGTATCAGGTAACTGAAGTTATCTGACAATATCTTTCAAATAGATTCCTGAATAAAAGAAATGAGATTAGAAGTGCATCTGCCACAGATGAAGTATTTGGAAGAAATAAATACAAAACAAGTTTAATGAGATCAAAGCCACATTCAGAGAGCGTTGTTCTTGCTGTCCTAGTTTGTGGAGCTTATTAAAGCCATTTGTCCAATCAAGGCCCATTTTAATGTTATTTCTCTTTTCTAGGGCTTTGCTATCATACCCAATTTTGCATCATCTGCAAATAGGATAAGCAAAAAGACCAAAATTCACCTTGTCAAATTGTACCGTTTCCCCAGGACAGCCTCAGGGTCCTGTTGACGGATTGCTCTAATTGCAGTTGGTGCAGTAAAAAGAGCCACTACTCCATATTCTGACAGCACACGGAAAAAAGCACCTGCATCTGGAGTTCCTACAGGTTTTCCCTATAAAGAGATTAGTTTTAAAAATGTAATTGGGTAAAAGGTATTCCATAATTCTTTCAGTTTAAGGGCTCACTGCAACATGGCATCAACTTGTCAGCAGAATACTGAAACAATGATTAAAATGCATTTGTACGAACATGAGGAAATTATTCATATGCAGCCACATTAGTGTGTCAAAGCTGTCTGGTGATGCACTGAATAAATTACTGAGGTACAAAAAAAACATGTCTTGCAAGTACTGCATCAAATTGTTACCAGGTAATTATTAACACATTGCATACACATCTCAGTAGGTACAAAACCAGGCTGACCTTCTTTGGATTTCAAGCAGACTCATGCCTAGATACCATTATTTCAGGGGTGGGTTCTACTTACCTTTATTACCCGTTCGCAATGAGGCCACACACGTTCTTCTGCACATACACAGAAGCGCATTTTGATGACATCGGGGTCGATGGGCGGAGTCTCCCGCCAGTTTTACTACCAATTCTATAGATCTGGTGAGAACCAGGGGCAACCCACCACTGCACTATTTGGAAATCCCAGACCTATACACTAAACTAAACTCCTTCCAAATTGTTATCAAGAAAACTCCATGCAAGTATCCATGAAAATTATTGAAATTGAACTCAACTCAGAGCCTCACTTATTCTGTCAGTTTTGGAAGCCATATTAGGCCGGAAGCTTCCACGCTGCCACCTTCTCATGTGTGGGAAAGTAGGAGGGGGGATTTAGTAGAGGGAATGTATTTAGACAAAATAGCATTCTTCCTTTCGGTCAAGGTCAAGACGATCCTGCATCTGGAGAATGAGTGGTTGGAGTGCTGTCTCAAGATGGGACGGATGGTGATTGGAGCATGTGATCGACTGATGAATGAGGGGATGGTTTGGGGGGTTTTGATTTACTGAGGGAAAACCTGGAACTATCAGATTTGGGGTTTCCCAGATGTGCCAGTATACCTATTCTAATAAATGGAACTTTGAGAAAATGTTTGCTTCAGAACAGTGGTGAAATCCAAATTTTTTTACTACCGGTTCTGTGGGTGTGACTTGGTAGGCGTGGCTTGGCAGGCATGGCAGGGGAAGGATACTGCAAACTCTCCATTCCCACCCCACTCTGGGGCCAGCCAGAGGTGGTATTTTCCGGTTCTCTGAACTGCTCAAAATTTCCACTACCGGTTCTCCAGAACCTGTCAGAACCTGCTGGATTTCACCCCTGCTTTGGAGTTTTTAATTGGAGATCGGGTTTTCTGGAACATTGACATATTCATTCTCTCATATGTTTTGGTTGATTTATGTTCATAATCCTGTACAGTTTTTAAAACCAGGTATGAGCAGGCTTTTAGTCAATGGAGACTATACCTTTTTTTTTTTTGCAAATGAAGACCATGGTGGATGGGGTGATGATGAACACCTGAGTTGGGGAGGAAGGAGCTTCTCCTCTTTCCATGAATGGGTTTTTTTTTTTTGTTTTGTTTTGTTCCTTTTACAAATATAAAGCTATCTCAGTGGCTCAGAGGCTGACTTTGGGTATGCTTTCTGTTTCAAAACTAAGTTTTTAAATTCCTTAATAACTTGGTGCTAATATTTTCGAGAAAATCACTATCTTATTAACCTGCCTGGGCCTTGCAGGCATCTTTGGTAAGATTTCTATATACATTATCAAAGAAAAAGCGCACATCATGTACTTTAAAAAAAGGTGTTTTTAAAACTCACTACTTAGAAATTGAATAAAATATAGTTCTCCAGATGGCATATAATGTGGAAAAAGTACTGTATTTAAAATCAGAGGAAAAAGCTTCCAGTCTTCACCTCTAGTATATAGAGATGTGGAACATGCAAACTTCAGGCTTGCTGTAGCTTGCTTACATAGCAGGAAACTTTTATTATCTTAGACTAACATTAGCTGCTAAAGAGATGAGAGGGCTCTACAAATTATGTTTCTCCAAGGAAGACAGAGCCTTCCTAATCACATCATAACCAGACATTCTATATGAGACTGGTGAAAAGCACTATTACTAAAAGTAGTAATAGTGATAACACATTAATTAACAGAAATGTATGTGTCTATTTGCTGTTTGCTGAAGAGCAACTCAAATAAGTTAAATAATTAAAAATTTAAAAATAATCACCTCATATAAAATTGTTGTATTCCCATGCAGAAGAGGTCCATAGCAAATGTAAGAATGACCAACCACCCAGCCTAAATCAGATGCAGCCCACCAGACCTAAAAATGAGATATAAAATGTAATTAAAATATAGGTACATATTTTCTTAATTGAAACATATTATATAAACTGAAATTACCTCTTTAGATTTAAGTCCATATACAGCTGACATAGTCCAGTTTAGCATAACTGCATAGCCACCTGTTGGTCTGACAACACCCTGAATGAAAGAAATTTGATGTTTAAATAATTAATTAGAATTAAATGAACACTTGCAGGAAATTAATATTGTCTACTTAATTCTAAGAGCTTTCAGATTTCCAAGCATAGGTTACAAGTTACATGAATTTGTTCTTTATTCAGAATCTAGTTCTTACATGCAATATGGGGAATGTGCAATTCTACAATGGCAGGAGAAAAATTGAGATTCTGCAGTTGTTAATCCAAATGCATTTTTTAAAGAATGGTGAATATTCTGCAGTCTTCCAGATACTTCTGAACTTTAACAAGATCATAATAGATGGATATATAATTCAATAACATGTGGAAAGTCACATCCCTGTTTCGGACCATGAATAAATGTAGGAAGAACTTCAGGTAATTGAAAGAAAATAAGCTGTTCTCAGTTGAATCACTACAAAATATAGTTAGTATTTTGGAGGTTTATAGCTTCCATTTTCTAATCCATACCATTTTAATATGGAAATGGTACAGGCTGGAAAATCCACACATTTGAATGGGCATAGTCATCATTTCTGGTATTTTATTGATGAAAGCATCTTTTGGAGGGACATTTTATGGTTCAAATCATTGTTCAATTTAGTGTGTGCATGTGAGGCAGAAAAGGAATGCAATTCAATGCAATGAGACAGCTGTTGCTTCCAACCCACATATACCCTTCCAATTTCAAAGAGGCCACCCATAGCTTAGCACTGTTGGCTTACCAGCTCCTCCCACGGCCAGAGAAACTGCTACAATGGCTTAATAGACTTAACACAGAACAACACTGGAGAAGACCAGGTCAGTGTTGCTTAGGCACAGGTTGAACTCTAGCTTTAAAAAACTGGCCTTCCCTGCACTTTCCAAAATGCATGCTGGAGCAGCACATCCCAGCAGTTAGTTTCTTTTCTCCCCCAGATATTTAGAACAGCATGGATAATCTTGCCTGGCATTAGCCAATCACCCTTACAAATCTTCAGAGTCAACTCAGTGACTGACTGGCCCAGCTCAATCACAGATCTGAGTCTGCAGCTGGCTAGTTTCACAACATACTGTTTCTTAAGGGATGTGTGTCTATAACTGCTCTGGGAGCCCTACCTTGCTCCTTAACAGAAAGGGATAGGCTAGTTGAAGGGAAAGTATAAAAGGGCAGAAGACACCTCCCCCCCAAAAAAAGGCAGCTATGTTCACAAAGGGAGAGAAGGTTCTGGAACAGGTTGAACAGCAACAATGTCTATCAAGGTGTATTTCAACAATAACTGGAATAAGAGCTGAAATAATTGAGTCAGGAGTGCATTCTTCCTTCCCCATTCCCAAATGTTGAAAAATCCCTAACCTGATAAGTTTGAAAAACTCAGCCTATTCCTACTTGTCTCCTATCTTTCCGCAAACAACCCATTTACACCAAGACTGAATATATCATAAAATAACAAATGGATTTTAGAGGTCATCTGGGCCTGCCTACATCTTTTTAGGCAACTAGGAAATATGTAGAAAAGCCTGTGCTTTTTATGATGCATAAGCATTTTCTATCTCTTAGATTTAGAGCTCAATGTACCTTTCCTTTCTACATTTTCATCTCTGTTACAGAAGGTGGCTGCGTTGCTATGATCTCTCCTCTTGTTCTTATGGGAATTTTTAAACTTTTGTTGCTACTTCTTTACACACAGAGTAATATTCCACTGATTTTGACCATATGTCACTAATATACACAAGCTCAGGCCTTTAATCTTATCCCGCACCAGTGGTGGGTTTCCAAATTTTTTACTACCAGTTCTGTGGGTGTGGCTTGGTGGGCGTGGCATGGCTTGGTGGGTGTGGCTTGGTGGGCATGGCAGGGGAAAGATGCTGTATAATCTCCATTCCCTCCCCAATCCAGGAGAAGGTTACTGCAAAATCCCCATTTCCTCCCAATCAGCTGGGACTTGGAAGGCAGAGAATAGATGGGGGCGGGGCCAGTCAGAATTTTTACTACCGGTTCTCCGAACTACTCAAAATTTCTGCTACCGGTTCTCCAGAACTGATCAGAACCTGCTGAAACCCACCTGTGTCCCGCACTCCATACAGAAGCAAAGTTGTGCCAAATAAGTTAGGAGGATGAACAGAATTTGAACATCAACACCTACCCACCCCCTGTAAAAAACTAGGGGAAAACTAAAGAGGAATTTTTTTAAAAAATGAAATTAATTAAATATTGCCTGATCTGGAGTAGAACTTAACTTGATCACAAGTATTTCCATTGAAATACACACCTACCTTGGGTGTACCAGTAGTTCCTGATGTATAAAGAATATAAAGTGGATGTTCTGAATCTACTGGAATAGCCTCACATGGCTTTGCTTTGGCTACTTCTTCATTCCAGTCCAAATCACGTCCTGGCTTAAGAGGAACAGCTCCCTGTATAGAAGGTACTAACATTATGTCTTGCAAAACCATATTTATGTACACGCACAGAGAAAAGAATAAAATAATAATAAAATCTTCTTTATGCAAGAATTTTAGTAGATATAATAGCACATATAAATGTACACTGCTCAAAAAAATAAAAGGAACACAAGCAGAAGACATCCGAGATCTGAATGAATGAAATAGCCTTATTAAATACTTTGTTCTTTACATATAGTAGTTTATACACAGCTCAAACAACTAAAGGGAACACAAAATTACTGTATGTAACGAACAAAGTATTTAATAAGGCTATTTCATTCATTCAGATCTCGGATGTCTTCTGCTTGTGTTCCCTTTATTTTTTTGAGCAGTGCATATCAAGGCTGTAAAGAACAGGAAATTCAGACTAAAATGATGAAATGCCAGAATCCAATGAAATGAGATATTGCAATTAAACTACAGAAATATGATTTAAAAGACTAGAGAAATGAGGAACATAAATTGCTATAATTACCATATTAGGGCGGCTATAAATCAGAACTCTTTCTGGTTGATGACTGATCATCTCCAATGCTTTCTCTAGAAGTGGCACATATTCCACTTTTCTTCCAGGTTCTATTCCAAATGTGGATGTTACAACCAGTTTTGGCTAAAAAAAAAGAGAGTATATTATATATACATATATACATACATACATATGAATATACGTATACATACATACATATACATGCATATACATACAAACTCAAATCATATTAAGCACCAAGATCATACCTCCTTCTCCACAAGCAAAGAATCCACTCAGCATTGAAGAATCCCAGGATCTTTCCCCCATAATTACATGCACAAATGCTTGTTTAAATAGAAAAATGATGTGTATGCATTTGCAGCAAGACAAAAGAATGACTTGTTTTCATGTTTAGACTTACAAGTTGTTTCAAGTCTTGGATTCATCATCCTGTGGCATAAATATGTTTTTAAATTTAAATTACAAACTTTTATTTCCCCCCAATATTTAGTGCAACCCCACACACTAAAAATACTAAATAATTCTTAGCCTGATGCAAAGTCTGAACTCAATGTATCTTTTGCCTAACCTAGGAGTTTTGCTCAATACATCAAATACAGATTTAGATTGTTCAATCAGTAATGCCATATTAATCACAATTTGAAACTTCCTTATTAGGCATACCCTCTAATGCAGAAGTTCACCAACCATTGAGTCTTTCTTTAGGTTAGTCCAAAAGGTCTGAAAGATTAAAGACTAACTTACCCTGTATAAATGGTTCCCCCCCCAAAAATATTATTACAGTGAAAATGTTGCATATATACATGTTGCCTGTATATGTAAAGTCTGGGTAATTGCATATTGGTTGTATCTCTGTATTTCCCTTCAAACTGCCTTTGCAAGTCTGCACAGAGAAATACAGCATGGGCTACATATACAGTAGTGGCCAAAATTGTGGAAATCTTTTGGGAAAAGTGTATTTTTGAGGTTTCATGGCTAATAACACCATTGTTTTGGGGAGTAGTACCATAAAATTATATATCAATGGAAAGATAATTTAATCAAGAATGTAATGCAAGAAAGTTTGTTCTATTATCTGTATTCTATGAAGAATTATAGCCAAATAACCAGAAAAAGGAAGCACAACTTGCTTAGGTTGATATCAGGTAGCTTTCCTTCATTTGATTGTAGCCAATGAGCATGAGTGTTTAGAGAACCAATCAGGTGTCATCTTGTTTTGGCAATGAGCCAATCAGATCACAGTAGGATTCAGTTATTGATGTCATGTACTGAAGCTGAGAGGAGGACATTTGTCAGTGTGTTACATGATCGCTATCAAGTTGGTGGGGTTTTTTTGTTTTCTTTCATTTAGTGAGCTTGTAAAACGTAATAAAATTAAAGTAATGATGCAAAAAAGCTTTATTACATCCTTTCTTTCCAACATTTCACTGGATTAGAAAAAACAAAAACCGACAATATGAAGAAACCAAGTTTAATTTTGTTCTGCAGTGAATACCCAAACAAATAATCCTCTCTGGAATCTGAAAGAAATTTCATTCATTTTTACTCCTACCTTTAAACTATACTTTCGGAATACTCTTAGTCTAGAGAAAAACAAGAATTAACCACAACATAATCATCTGCAAAGCAGGCAAGCACTAGTGCAGAAGCAGTTGGAATTCTTTCTTTTCAACACTGTAATTGATGAATATTACCTGTAAAAAAGATAAGAAACAAATTATCTATGGCCTCTGAACATGACAAGTTCATTGTAGTGAACGCATGGAGGAATTATCTTTAATAAACTTATTGCTAGAAGATCAAAGGAAATCTTATTAACAACATTACTGATAAAACCCACCATTCATTGCTATTATAACTTTTTAAAAAAATGAACCAATGTGATGACAAAAGCATACAAAATAACCAGCTAGCATCATTCAAAGCAAGATTATTCAACATGGTGTGCATATGTCAGAGTATCTAGCATCTAATAGGCTTCTTGTCTCACGTGACTTCTTCAGAATAGTTTTGAGTGAAGAAGACATGAAAGCTGGAGGTGGTAAGGAATGATAGAGAGTATCCTTTCAATAAATATATGTTTTATGCATTGTCACAGTATGCACTCTATAGTTCAAACGTGTCCAATGCTAAAAAAAATGAACTCTTGATTGAAAGGTTATATTGATCAGTTAAGCTTCTGCTAAAGGAGCACGCTGTCCTAAATTTAAATTCTGTCTAAATTCATGCTATGTGCTAAGTTCTCATGAATTCAGAAAAATCAAGACATAGCCTGAATTAAGAATGCACGTATTATCCTTCTGCTTCAAGCCTAGGTCAGCTTACTTATAAGAAAGTTGCTCTTTTAGGCGCAAATTTAAGATATGAAATTACTTCAAAGCAAGTGTAAGCATTTTTTTCATGGCTGAGTAATAAAATACCTATCAGTATTGGCTATTTATGATATATAAACAATGTAAATGGCATCAGTTCTGATCTTCTCACACAATTAAGCTGGCAGAGATCTGTGAAAGAAAAGTTCATTTTTAAAGTATTCCTCTCAGAATACAAGACATGTTTATTACCTTGGCATGATCAATGCGACTAGAAAGCTCTTTCGAAGCAAATCCACCAAAAATAAGACTATGTATAGCTCCTATTCTTGCACAAGCCAACATAGTGTACATTGTCTGTGGTATCATTGGCATGTAGATGACAACACAATCTCCTTTCTTCACACCATGACTCAGCATAACACCAGCCAACTTGGAAACCTGTAAAAGTAGCAATTTACAATTATTGATATGAACTTAAAGTATCTGGAATTAACTATTGTTTAGACTTTATTAAAAGAACCCATATGATAAAGAGGTAATTCCATAAGGTTGGGTTTACAGTATATATTAGTACAGAGTAAGTTTCACTTTGATACAAAATCATATAGTAAAAGCCACCTAAACTTTTCACAAGCTTTCCAGAATATAGAGTATATGCCATTTGCCGCAGAAATCCAATTTTTTTTACTACCAGTTCTGTGGGTGTGGCTTGGTGGGCGTGGTGTGGTGTGGTGGGTGTGGCTTGGTGGGCATGGCAGGGTAAGGATACTGCAAAATGTCCATTCCCACCCCTCAGGGGCCAGCCAGAGGTGGCATTTGCCAGTTCTCCGAAATACTCAAAATTTCTGTTACCGGTTTTCTAGAACCTGTCAGAAGCAAATCACCCCTGATTTGCCGCCATTTCACATCCTTTCATATAAAAGGTGGAGTGAATATAGAGGTACATACTATACTAAAATTTGCTGCAAAATATGTATTCTGAAAAATTAAACAGGAGAGTTTAGGACTCAGAGGTGTCAAAGTGGCGGCCCGTGGACCACATATGTCACACGCAGGACATGCCCAACCCAGCTCCGCGAAGGGGAAAAACATCACGAAATGTTACGTGATAGCAATATGATGCTGCGAGTTTGACACCCGTGGTTTACGTTGTTTAATACTTAGAGGTTCATTTTAATTTGCTTCTGTATTTAGTATTCATTCTTTGTAACTTTATAAAGAATTGTAATAAGCTTGTATCTTTACACATTCAATCTCATATTTGTGTGTGTGTGTGTGTGTGTGTGTGTGTGTGTGTGTGTGTGTAGTTGAAGTATTACTTTAAGGCAGGGGTGGGCAACTGTGGCCCTTTCACAACCTGTGGACTTCAACTCCCAGAATTTCTGAGACAGCTTGGCTGTCTCAGGAATTCTGGGAGTTGAAGTCCACAGGTTGTAAAAGGGCCACAGTTGCCCACCCCTGGTTTAAGGTATTATTACAGGTGTGTTTTATTAATATTATTATATGATATTTAGATTAGATTGTTTTCAAATGCTACTAACAATTTGTAATTTATGAGTAATCCCAAAAAATTTTATGCTACAACTAGACCAAAATAAAAATGAATCCAGTTGCAATAATGTATGTGCTTATTTCCTTGATGCAGACCAATTTACCTCTTAAAATATATTTCTGGTATCTCTACTCTTACAACACTAAGATTGTTATTTATACTACAAAATATTATTATTTGAAAAGAATTCACATAAACATGATTCACATTATAAATACATAGAAAAGACAGTATTTGGCTATATTCTCAATTTGCATTACTTACAAATAAAACTGAATGAGCATCAATATAGAATACAGAATTTGCATTTCATGATATTATATATTAAATATGCAAGGGTTTTCATGCGGAGTTCCTGTAGAAAAAAAAAGATCAAACAAATACACAAAAATATTTCAAGGGCCAAAGGCATCTGTCCTTTGATATAGTCCCTTGTATTTCTATTGTAGGCAATCAACTTGCATTTTATGTAGGCAATTGACTTTTTATCTCCCTGAGTCTCTAAACACTTGTCGGAAAAACGAAATATCCCTATCCAATATCAGAAAAAAAGCAACCGATCAACAGTAAATGTGCTATTCCTGTTTTAAAATATTAGTTGCAACATACTTTCAGAAAGAAAGAAGTCCTTAAATGTGCAGTGAGTGCAATAGAACTTATTCCTTTCAAAATCACAAAGCATGGGTTGAAGAAATAGATTGTTCTTTTCAAATCCTACCTAATGGGGAAAGAAGGAGGGAGTTGTGTAACTTGCCCAGAAGGCATTCTAATATCTATCACTCAATGTATCTCAAATAATGGTCCAACTATTTGTAGACCTTAATGCCGGTAGCTAGGAGAATGTAGTAACAATAACACCCGTATATCATATTCAATGTTGCATTTTTGTTTGCAATTTAATTCAACTTCACATAAACTTTTATACACCGTTTTCTGAACAGAAGGATTTCAGTATGGCATCAGGGTGAACCAACATTTTTCACACATTTGACTAAGAAGATAGTTCAGTAGCTTTTATCTGTATAATATTATAGCTGTATAATGGCCTGTACAGGTAGTCCTCGACTTATGACCACAATTGAACCCAAAATTTATGTTGATGAGACATTTGTTATGTGAATTTTGCCCCATTTTACCACTTTTCTTGTCACAGTTGTTAAGTGAATCATTGCAGTTGTTAAGTTAGTAAGCCGGTTGTTAAAGGAATCTGGTTTCCCCATTGACTTCGCTTGTCAGAAGGTCATAAAATGTGATTACATGACTCTGGGACACTTAACTGTCATAAATATGAACCAGTTGCCAAGCATCCGAATTATGATCACATGACTATGGGGATGGGGTCATAAGTTTTTTTTCAGTGCCATTGTAACTGTGAACAGTCACTAAACTAAGACTCAAAGACTTACCTGTAAAATGAAAAAAGCTGAGAACCACATAAATACTTAGATAATGAGTAAAAGCAGTACAATATTCTTAGAAATCTTTTAAGTCAGAGGTCAGCAACATGCCTGTCTTTACAAGAACAGTATGTTTGATTTTTTTATTATTATTATATATTTCACAGGATGTTTTCATTTAGACTTAAATCCCCAGAATTCTCTTAACCTATCCAAGTTTTATAGCAAGGGCATAAGAAATATATCCACTAATTTTTCTTCTGTGGCCCAAAGACCCCCAGAATGCTGGTGGATTTCAGCAAACATTTTGACTTTTTTCCAGTATCAGAAGTTGAGATAATAACGGGCAAAATGGGTACCTAAGGCTTTGCAGACACTTAATACATTTATTTCACTCTGCATAATTACTGAAACTTCTTCCAGAATGGGTCTTGGCCCCGGTCCTAGCCTGCCTACTTCTGGAGTACAAACATCACCATTTCAAACAAAACCCTCAAGCTATCCAATATCTTGCCTTGTAGGTACAAGACATTGTTTAAAAAAATTTGCTCTCTTTTTTTAAAAAATGATGGAACTTTTAACCTTTGGATTCAATCATTATAATTTAGAGGAACATCCTATTTTCTATTAAGTCTGATTCTTCCATGGGAACATTTTCTTCTTGTAGCTTTCAGGTAAGCAATGCTCGTGAAGTAGTTACTTTGGTTTCTCCTCCTATGAATCCCAGCTAAAATAACTTCTTTCACAGAGTTGGCCTGTAGCCAGTGAAGTTTCAAAGGTAGATTGAAGAAGGAGACTGGAGTTTTATTTCCCTAGTCCTAATTTGGATTGCTTGCTCATAGGAGTTAACACCCCATTCTTCTTCAAATAGTTCAGGTAGCTGGCATTACTCCATGAAATCAAGCCACTGGCTCGGCATGACATAAGCAATAGAGAGGCTTATTTTTATCCTCCTCTGAAAGTACATTCTAGATGTATATTATATAAGCAAGGGAAGGAAGGAAGAAGAAAAATAAATCCTTTTGAGAAGTGAAGCCATACAGAATGCTCACTTAATTACTTGTCTGGGGGATGCGGATAGCATTCTTCTATTAAGAAAATACAGCAAAAATTTATCCTAACTATTGACTTGAGGAAAAGACATAAACCCAATTAATAGGCATATCACTGTGCCTCATAGGTGCCCTGGGAGATAAATTTGAATAAATGGTTTATCTATGTTAGAATATTAAAGTGGAAAAGGCAATTTAGGGGATAAAGAGTGAAAATCCAAACTGAAGAAATCACCAAAATAATCAAATTCCACTGCATTTGTGGAATAGAGAGGAATTAAAGGAACTGTTGGTCTACTTACACTACATTAAAAACAGAAGAATGCCATTTTATTTATTGTGGAGCTTGCCTGTAAAACTGATTTCAACCTTGATTTGTTCATTTCATAAATACATTCAGATTGTTTTCTGGAAAATAATATAGAAGTGTTCTATCATTGTCATCTTCTAGAATGTATTCCCCCGTCCTAATGCACTGGAATTTTTGATCTCACATCCAGATATTAAACAGGTTTATCCCTGCTTACCTTTCAAAATCAGATTAAATTGACTCTGTACCTGGTCTAAAAAATATATCATTCAAAAAAAGTATTTCATAACATATGTTAGCCAATAATTCAGTACAACCGGACAAAATAATAATAAATTGTCTCATCTTAATGGGTTTTTAATCTTTGTATCTGTATATCAGTAAGCTAATGGCATCTAAACCAGCATAACAAAGTAAACCACTTTAAATAGTGATAATTATAAATTAAGGAAATATCAAGCATCAAAATATTCATTACAGGTACCTTTTGCTTGGTGTCATATGGGCAAAATGTTGACTTGGAAGAGATTCTACCTTGCATATATAGTGGTATGCTGCACATGATCATGTATTTAATTCAAAAATGGAAAATTGGAGACTTTTGAAATTATGTAACCCGGCAGAGCAAACAGGCTTTTAAAACAAAGTTCTTACAACTCACTTTTAGGAATGCGAGAACAATACTCTTTTAAGAATGACAAAATCACAATTTATTGAGAAGGTACTTCTGTTACTATTTTTAGCCAAGTTCCATTCATAAGAGCCTGAAGAGCAAATATTAGTTATACTTGGTAACTGCTTTTTTCTTAGAAATTTCCCCACATTTTTGTACTACATAAATGCACTTTCTCAATCTTCTTTAAATAAGTCCTCTGTGATATGGGCCAGATCAGTACTCATTCAGAATCAGTTCATGGATGGTTGTTGCTTTGTTATTTTACTAACATGGCATTTGCTACACCACAAATAATTTCAAAATTGAGCTATCTGAACTGGAAGATCTGGAAGACATCAACAATCTGCCGGATTTAGATCTAAACCTGATTATTATACAGAACTATTCCTATAGTTTTCCAAATCTTACCTACAGTCTACAGTGCATTCAAAAGTATTCAGACCCCCTTCACTTTTGTCAATTTTGTGCTGTGCTGCAGCTGATTCTACAGTTGTTGAAATTCATTTTTTTCCCTCATTAATCTACATTCGGTACTCCATGATGACAAAATGAAAACAGAATTTTAGAAATGTCTGTAAATTTATTAAAAAGAAAAAACTGAAATATCACATTGGCATAAATATGTAGACCCTTTGCACTGTATCAATCGTCAATCTTCATTGAAACAATAATCTTTATAAATAGGACTAAGACAGATGCAGTCTGAAAACACATTTAAAGCTGCTCATAGAAGACAAAAGCTTTCATCTATATAATACAAAACTATACAAAGAAACCAGTATACCACTTTGTGGTTTGATCATCTCAACTCATACAGCTCTTCGGTTATACAAACATTACATTGACATTCAGCTCAATATTCAGTACAAATTAATTATACATCCTCTTATTCTTTGGTAAAAATCTATAATTAAAGACAATCTTCTAATGACTTTCAATTGTTAACCTACTGCACTATCACGTTACATGTAATTAAACTGAAAAGATTAAAAATAGTAAATAGCCACAGCAGGGGGCAGCATCTCTCTGACCTCAGCTAATCTCAAAAAGCTAAGAAAAGTCAGACATGAAGGGCACTTGTATAGAAGGGGTGCAAATTAAATTGAGAAACCACATTTACTATAGTCAAGAAAACATGGATGTATCTGTACAGTTATCAGGAGTCAAACTCAACTCAAGGGAAATTTTATGAGAAAACAAACAAGAGAAGGGGCTCAGTGGTAGAACAAACTCAATAACAACACAGAGCAACCGTATCTGTTTCAAATAAACTCTAACAGAATGTATGTATTTGCAATTATCTACTTTCTCTATTTGAAATGTTATAACTATGATAGGATATGTTTTATCATTATTGTCATTTAGTTTGAATATTCATATAAAACATACCTGTTCAAGAACTTCAGTGTAAGTTATAAACTCTTTCGTATTTGTTACAGGACTGTCATAGATAATAGCAATTTGATCCCCGTGTCCATTCTCAACATGGCGATCCAGAGCATTATAGCAAATATTCAGCTCTCCTCCAACAAACCTAAAAAAGGAAAATGGACTGGAAAATTAGATTAAATACCAATATAGTGGGCACCTGATTACATTTTTAATTGATTTTTCTTTCCTGATTTTTTCCGATTTGTGTAACATCACTTACAAGTATATAGTATTAACAAATCTAATTATAATTCCTTTATAATATCCAAAGAATATGTAGATATCAAAAACAACCCCATTTTATATTAGAATTAGGTTACTGTGCAGAAATAGGTATATATTATGCTAAAGCACAAGCAGAAAATGTTGGTGTAGATTTGAATAATTATTTGATTTTGAGATTCACAGCTGATTTTGGAGATGTTAACCTGGAATCCTGATTTTTTTTTTATTTACACTTTATTGGGTTTTTTTTTAACACAAGTAAAATATAATAACAATTCTGTTTGACATCGGATTCGCAGTGTTTGTACATATATACATGAAAAAAAAATCTGGTGTCATTTATACTATACATTTCTAATTAATTTCTACACCTTTTACTCCTTCCTTGATTCTATCATTTATCCATTCGTACCATCTTCCCCACACAGTACCATAATCTGAATTTTCATCATCATTTATCTCATGCGTTAATTTACTTATCTCTGCACACTCTAATATTTTGCTGATTATAAGGTCGTCTGGTGGTAGGTCTTTCTTTTTCCAGTATTGAACGTACGCCAGTCTGGCAGCTGTAGTTATGTGTATTAGGAGGTGGACCTTTTCCTTTCCATGCCCTTTCTTTACCATTCCCAGGAGAAATATTTCTGGATTCAAGTCGATTTCTTCTTTAATTATGTCTTTCAACCATCTCCGAATTTTGCTCCAGTATCTTTTTGCTTCGGGGCATGTCCACCACATATGAAAGAAGGTGCCCTGACCATGGCCACATTTCCAACAATTTGGGTGCACATTGGGGAATATCTTTGCTAATCTTGCAGGTGCTAAATGCCACCTATGGAGCATTTTATAATGATTTTCCTTGTAAGTGGCTGCTCTAGTTAATTTATAGTTTTTATTCCAGGCCTCTTCCCATTCATTAAAGTTCAAACTGTGCCCAATATTACTCTCCCATGCTCTCAATTGGTTTCTGATTGTATCCTCATCTCTGTCTTCATCTAATAAGTAATTATATAGTTTGGCCAACGTTTTTTTTCCTGGTCCCATCAAAATTTTGTCTAATCCGTTGTTTCCTAATTCTAAGCCATATTCATCCTTATCTTTCTGGTATCTTGATTTTATTTGCAGGTAAGTCCACCAATCTAAGGTTATACCTTGGTCTCTCAGGGTATCATTTGATTTAAGGTTTCCCCCTCCATCGACAATGTCTTTGTATCTGCACAGTTTCTCCATTCCCCACCTGTTGGGGTAAATCAATGCCTCTACCGTAGAGAGCCAATTTGGGACTTTTGAATAATATCTCTGCCTAATCCCCGCCCACGTTTGTATTAGGGAGTCCCTGATTTTATGCCTGTGGAAGTAGGTTTTCTTTTTCTTGTCTTTGTCCCATAGATACGCATGCCACCCTCTCTGTAAGTCATGGCCTTCTAATGTTAGGGTTCTCTTGTTCTCCAAAGTGATCCATTCCCTTATCCATATCAGTTTTGCTGCTCTGTAATACGTTTCCCAATTTGGGAGTCCAAATCCTTCCACATTCCTTTTTTCCTGTAAGATTTTGAGTGAGATCCTCGATTTTTTTCCCTCCCAAACAAATTCCCTAATGTTCTTATTTAATTCTGAAAAAAAAAATTTCTCTAAAGTCACTGGTAAATTTTGATATAGAAATAGGATCTTGGGGAGGATGTTCATCTTAATTGCCGCAATTTTACCTATAAGTGACAATTTAATCTTTTTCCATCTATCCAAATCTTGTTTTAATTTTTTAATTAATGGGGTATAGTTATCTTCTTTTAGAGATGAACACCTTTTGGTTAGCCAGATTCCTAAGTATTTTATTTTTGGGACAACCTGTAGGCCCAAAGCTCCTTCTATCTCTTTCTTCTGGGTCTCAGTTACATTCTTAGTTAGTATTTTGGTTTTAGATTTGTTCAATTTAAAGCCAGCCACCTCTCCATATTTACCCAATTCCTCTAATACTTTTTGTCCAGATATTAATGGTTCTTCAAGTATTAGCGCCACGTCATCCGCAAAGGCTTGCGTTTTATAAATCTCTTTTCTAATTTTTAGGCCTTTGATTTCCTCGTTATTTCTAATCTTTCATAGCAAAACTTCTAGGGCCAGGATGAATAATAACGGTGACAGGGGACAGCCCTGTCTTACTCCCTTCTTGATTTGGAATGTTCTTGTCCTATCTCCATTTACTAAAATGCTCGCCCTCTGATTGTTGTAGATAGTCTTTATCATCTTTTCAAAGTTTTGCCCGAATCCCATTATTTTAATTTGCTTGATCATAAAGTTCCAATTTAAATTGTCGAATGCCTTTTGGGCATCCAAAAAAACTAAGGCCAACTGCTTTTCTGGGTGTTCTTCATAATATTCTAGAGTATTTAACACAATTCTCAAATTATCCCTAATTTGTCGCCCCGGGAGAAATCCATTTTGATCTTTATGAATCCAGTTGTTTAATATTTTTTTGGTTCTTTCTGCCATTATACCCATGAATAGTTTGTAATCAGTGTTTAGAAGCGAGATCGGTCTGTAATTTTGGATTTTTTTGGGGTCTGCACCTTCTTTCGGCAGCAGTGTAACATGTGCTTCCCTCCACGAGTCAGGGATTTTTGAGCCCGTCAGAACCTCATTGAAAATTTCCATTAATTTGGGTTGTAGAATTTCTTCCAATTTTTTGTATATTTCTCCTGGGAATCCATCTGGGCCTGGCGATTTGTTGTTTTTGAGTTTTGAGAGGGCTTTTTTGAATTCTTCAGTTGTTATCTTAGCGTTTAACATCTCCTTCTCTTCCTCCGTTATTTGTGGGAGCTCCGCATTTGCCAGATTTTGGTCTATTTTTCCTTCCGAGGCCTCCTCTTCTTTGTATAGGGATTCATAATACTTTCTCGCTCTTTCTAATTTGTCTTCTTCTTTATTTAAAAGATTTCCCTCAGCGTCTTCTAGTGTCTGAATTGTCCCTTTTTCATTTTCCTTTTTTAATTTATAGGCCAGCCACCTGCCCGATTTATTGGCGTTCTCAAAGTAGTACTGTTTTGTTCTTTTTATTTTTTGGGCTAGTTCCTCTTGATCTAGGATGTTTAATTTATGTCTTCACACCAGCCAATTTTCTTTTGCTACAGTATCTCCAGGCATTTTCTGGAGTTTCCTTTCTGCTTCATCTAGATGTTTAATGAGATCTTCCCGGGATTTCCTTTTTAATTTATTTTTATATGCAGAGTAGGATATTATTACCCCTCTTAGATAGGCCTTCATTGTGTCCCATACTATTTCGCGGGATGTTCCTTGGTTCTCATTTTCTATAAAAAAAGTCTTTATTTCTCCTTTCAATTTTTCTACACACTCTTTGTCGCATAGTAGTTTTGCATTGAGCCTCCATCTCTGTTGTTTCTTTCTCCTTATGTTTCTCCATTTTATTTCCAGGGGGTTGTGATCTGCCCAGATGTTTGGGCTAATTTCTGCTGTCTCTATTTCTAACCCCAACGTCCTGGTGACCCAAACCATATCTATTCTCGACCATGACTGTTGCGGATTGGAATAGAATGTATACTGTCTTTCGCTTGGGTGTAACGTTCGCCATATGTCAATTAAATTCATTTCCTTCACCAAATCGAAAAAAGCTTTTGGTAAAGTCGCCCTTTTATTTTTGTTCATTTTATTACTTTTGTGATCGTTGTCTGGGTCTACGATTCCATTGAAATCGCCTATCATGCAAATTTCATTATATTCCATTTTCCCTAATTGTTCACGAAGCTTTTGGAAATATTCTCCTTGTTTTTTATTTGGGGCATAAATGCCCACTAATAACATTTTAGTGTTATCTCTCGTGACTTCGACCATAAGAGTTCTTCCCTTTGTATCATTATATTTCAATTCTGCTTCAATTCCTTTTTTAACATAAATTACTACCCCTCTCTTTCTTTTTTCTGCTAATGAGGTAGTTTACCATATTTTTTATACTCCAAACATTTACCCTCATCCTTTTTTATATGGACCTCCTGTAAGCAAATTATATCCATATTTTGTTTTGCTAGTTTTGTAAGTGTTAATTTCCTCTTTTTACTATCGTTTAATCCATTGATATTTACTGAGATTAATTTCAAGTCATTCATTCTTGTTTTCCTTGCTCGGTCTTAGTTCTTGTTTAGTCTTACGGCTCTTACTGGTCTTGTTCTTTTTTCCTTGGCTTCTTCTTCGGTCTTCTTCTCCTCCGCGGTTCCTTCCTCTTCTAAGTTTGTCGCCTCTATTTCCTCCTTACTACTCTGTTCTTCTTCTGCACCCCTTAACTGATCAAGAAAGTCTTGTGCTGTGCTCAGGCTATCTATTTTTATTTTTCTCCCCTGCCAGGTGATTAACATCCCCTCTGGTAAGAGCCATCTAAATAATATATTTCTTTTGTTCAATTGCACAGCCAAAAATCTGTAGTCCTTTCTCACCTCCCTCACTCTTCTTGGAATCTGTTTTAATATTATCACTTCTTTTCCTCTGTATGTTATTTGTCCGTCCCTCGCCATACTGTATAGGATGTCTTTTACTTTTTTTCTCGCGAACCTAATGTGGACTTCTCTGGGGAGCCTATTCCTCCTCGCATAATTTGTTTGGACTCTATAGACGTCGTCCAGTTCTCTGATGATCTCACGTTTATCTTGTTGGAGTAGTTCTGCGATTAGTTCCGCCATCTTCTCTCCCAAATCCTCCTCTTTATCTTCTTCCACATTTTGGAAGCGCAGGTAGAACGACGCCCTATCCATCTCTAATTGTATTAATGAATCTTCTAATTCCTTGTTTTGCATTGTCAACATCTGGTCTACCATGTCCAGTTTCTTCTCATTTTGTTCTATTTTTTGCTCCGCCTTCTGGATCCTTTGTTCATTG